CCTGGCTCTGCTCTGTGTAACTGAAGGAGCCCAGGCGCCTCCGCTCTTCAAGCCTCGGTCTTTTCACGTGTGTACTGTGGTTAATAGTAATATACTACAGGGCTATTTCAAGGATTAAGGCACTAAAGTGTGTCGAATACTTAGCATCGTGCCTGGTGCCATGTAAATTCAGCCACTGCTTTGTGATTTTTGCTGACTGTGGTTGGTGGCCTCCTCTTTGAACATCCCATGTTAAAACAGCTCGTGGAGACGTATACTTTGCACTACTCAATGAAGCATCCATACAATAAAGAAACGTGGGAAAATCTCCAGACTCGTTAGGCTCAGAAATGAAGGATGAAGACTGTTTCTGTTGCAGTGTCCCAGGTTAGACGTTGAGGAGGACGGGTTCCTGTCTCTGCCCTCTGTGTGCTTGCTGGCTGGAGGAGAGGAACCTAGAGGAGATGTGTGCAGCCGGGAGCAGAGTCTCGTTGGAAAGCTGTGCCTTGTGTCTTCACAAGGCAGAAAACAGCTTGATGGGGAGAAAGGCAGGCCCAGGTGGAGGGGAGCCTGTGGGGAGGAAGGAGACGGGAGGTAAGGTCCGCTGGGACCGGGAGCCAGGCCGAGGGGCCAGCGTGGGGGCTGTGCCTGACGTCCTGGTGCATTTCAGAGGAGCAGATTTGCAGGGAAGACATTTACATGCATCCCTTTTTTCAGTGCTAATGGATTTCCTGGTAAGTAGGAAATGTGAAAAATACTGAAGAAAAAAATTACCTAGCAACATAAAAATTATTTCTGATGGTCTAGATCACCTGTGGTTTGTGTTCACATGTGGTGGTGTTATATAATCATATGACATTTTATAGCCTGCTTTTAAAACGTACTACTCTTGTAACATTTTTGGTATTAGTAATTGCTCTTAATCATCATAACTTTTAAAGCTATGTCACATTTCATAATATACTTTTTTATACATTTATTATTTGGAGCAGATATAACAAAATCAAATTATTGTTTCAGTTTCAACATTTATATAGTTTTATTTACATATTATGACAAACCTTCTTCTAGAAGAATTGGACAAATGATAATGTGGAACAGTTCTAACATACCCTTCACTGTACTGGCTGCCACCACTTCGAAAAAGTTGGCTAATATAATAAATATTAACTGGTATCATGAAATTCTCATTTTTAAATTTTTAAGTCATTGGTTATAATAAAGAATGAATTTTCTTTATGTATTTGTGACTAGTTTTTACTCGAATGGATTTCTGCCTGTAAGGTATAACTGTAGCTTACCATGCATCTAAGTGCACAAATTTAGAATGTATAACTGGGGGCATCTTTATGCATGCACACACTGATTCCCCCCACACACGTACCCCTACACACCCACACAGCCATGCACCCACACCCTCCCACACACCTCACCTGCCCCACACCCGTACCTGCACACATGTGCATTCACACCCATGTACACCTCCCATACCCATGTGCCCACACACCCCCACATGCTCCCTCACACACACCTGCACCTGCCCCAGCCCCACCCCCACACATCTGCACCTCCCCCACAGCCACACTCACCCACATATACACGTGGGCCACGTACCCATGCTCCCATACACCCATGCACATGCATAAGCCACACCAATGCTGCCACACACAGGTGCACCCCTGCATGCACACCCATCCACAGCCACGTGCACCTGTGCCACAGCCGTGGAGAACACCCTCGCGGTCCCCTCTGATTCTTGGAGTCTGTGCCAACTGCAGGCCTGCGGTGACAGTCTCTGTTGTTACCCCTTGGTTCTGCCTCAGGTCATCGCACAAGGCTCATCCTTGTGTCTGATTGTTCTCACTCAGCGCTGTCTGTGCGTGTGTCGTTATTTGTCATTACTAGGAGAATTGCATTTGTGAATATACCACAACTGATTTACCCATTCTGTTGTGTTTTATTTTTTTATTTTATTTATTTTTTTTGAGACAGAGTCTCACTCTGTTGCCCAACCCGGAGTGCAGTGGTATGATCTTGGCTCACTGCAACCTCCACCTCCTGAGCTCAAGTGATTCTCCTGCCTCAGCCTTCTGAGTAGCTGGGACTACAGGCACCCACCACCATGCCTGGCTAATTTTTGTATTTTTAGTAGAGACAGGGTTTCACCCATTGGCCAGGCTGGCCTCAAACTCCTGACCTCAAGTGATCTGCCCGCCTTGGCCTCCCGCAGTGCTGGGATTACAGGAGTGAACCACCGCGCCCCGCCTGCCGGTTGTTGATGGACCTCTGAGGTGTTTGCTGCTTTTGCCTGTCATAAATATATCTGCCGTGAAGATTCTTGCACTTGCCTTTTCTTTGGGGTTTGTAGGGTCCATCCCCAGTTGTAGTGATGTGGGGTCACAGGACATATGTATTTCCGACAAATGTTTTTCTTGATATCACTTAGTAATTATTTAATAATTAATAATATAAAATGTGTAACAGGTCCACAGAGGGAAAAACTGTTTATCGGTAAACTTCCCTTGGGCATGGAAAGGAAAAAACGCACAATAAACGTTCACGTATAGAAACAAGTGCTCTGTTAGTTTCTCGGGTTTTTAGATGTGTGGTTTGTAATTGGAAGCGGTTCACTGGGAATGGTTTTGAACCTGCTGTGAAAACCTCCGTGGCCCTGATTGGAAAGCGCAGGCGGGCATGCCCACGGGGCCCCTGCTCTGCATCAGACAAGCCAGCCATGTCCGGCTTTTCCTTGGCTCCAGGCCCGGTGCTGGTGGCCCTGCTGCACTCCTGGGAGACTCTGGGCAGTGGCGGAGTCTGAACTCCCCTCTGAGCAAGTCCAGAATGACTCCTTAGGGGGACCTTGTATTAGTTTGTTCTCACACTGCTATTAAGAAATAACTGAGACTGGATAATTTATAAAGAGCAGAGGTTTGATTGGCTCACAGTTCTGCAGCTGTACAGGAAACAGAGCAGCATCTGCTTTGGGGAGGCTTCAGGAAGCTTCTGATCATGGCAGAAGGCGAGGAGGGAGCAGGCACCTCACATGGCAGAAGCAGGAGCAACCGGGGGGAAGGGTGCCGCTCACTTTTAAATCACCTGGTCTCAGGAGAGCTCGCTGGCTGTCGTGAGGACATTACCAAGTGGGGATGGTGCTAACCCATTGGTGAAGGCCCCTCCCCCATCACCCATAGTAAACGTGTCTCATAGGATCTCTTTCTCTGCCTTGTAAGCCAGAACCTCCCACCAGATCCCGTGTCTGGCCCTGGGATTACAATTTGACGTGAGATTTGAACAGGACACAAACCATATCAGATCCTGGGAAGAGCAGTTGGAAATAATGAAAGGGCCATCTGAGGCCTGGATGATGCTTCGGTGTTGCTGGGTATCGTGGGGACAGTTTAAAAACAGCGTTGAATGTTTGTTTTGATTGCAAAAGTATTGCAGAGTGGGCCAGGCACGGTCAGTCCCAGACCTAATTAGGCAGAAAACATTAGAAATACAAATACAAATAAAGCACAAGGAAGTGAAGGAAACCACCTCTGATCCCACCGTTTGGACGCCGCTAAGGTACCTGCCAGTTTTCTTGTTGGGACACGCACACTTTTTTAAAACAAACAAACCAAAAAAGGGTGTAGCATTCACACCGTTTCTTTCGTTGCTTTCTGCCTTATTTCTTTCATACATTCTCTTCTACAATGTGTATTACAGACATCATCCATGCCACTACATAGTCTACAGTACACTGAACGGCTTCGTAATATTAGATTGCCATCAGGTACTGCAGTTTATTTGAATTGTTTCCTATTACCAAACATTTAGGTGACTTCTAATTTTTTTATTGCATAGTAGTTGACTTCTAATTTTTTTATCATAAGAGTCATTGCAATAGTAAATGTACTTGGATATAAATCTTTTGTGCAGATCCATGAGTATTTTCTCAGTACACATTTAAAAGAGGAATTATGCTTTCTCATTGACTCAGGTATTGGTAAGAAATTAAATGTGAAATCCTTTTAATTCCTCTAAAAAGTATCCTGGAAAGCATGGAGATAGTATATTTAACTTTTTTATGTAGTGGCTCAAATGTTTTACTATTTAAAAATGATAGGCACCAGTGGCTGTGGGACTTGTTTTTCAAAAGAAGAGGGAAGTGTGTGAATATACAGCCCTTCTCACCCTTGCCCGCCTTACTCATGTCTGATGTATGGGTTGAGTTCTGCCCATACAGATAGAGTGGGCCAGGCACGGTCAGTCCCAGACCTAATTAGGCAGCCTTGCCCTGCCCTCCCCAGTAGCCATACCCTGCTGCCCCTGCCTTCCCCAGAAGCCTTGCAGCAGGCTGGGAGGAACTTGCCCACAGGGACAGCCCTGGGCAGCTCTGGCCTTGGCACCAGCAGAGGCTCAGTCTTACAGCCACTTGGGGACACAGCGTTTGATGCCCCATTTCTTTCTTTTTTTCTTTTTTTTGAGATGGAGTTTCCCTGTTGTTACCCAGACTGGAGTGCAATGGCATGATCTTGGCTCACTGCAACCTCCGCCTCCTGGGTTCAAGCAATTCTCCTGCCTCAGCCTCCCAAGTAGCTGGGACTACAGGCGTGCACCACCACGCCCAGCTAATTTTTGTATTTTTGGTAGAGGTGGGGTTTCACCTTGTTGACCAAGATGGTCTCGATCTCTTGACTTTGTGATCCACCCGCCTCAGCCTCCCAAAGTGCTGGGATAATAGGTGTGAGCCACCGCGCCCCACCCTGTGCCTCATTTCTTTAAGACTGGATATGACCACAGGGCAGTCTTACGTAGCTTCCTATCAAAAATGTGCCACAGGGATTTTTCTACCTTATCTTTGGAGAGGAGTCCAGTAAGAATTAAATTATAGGAGTCCATACTGTTGTCATAATAACAGTTAATTAAAGCTGTATCTGTCATGAAATGTGCATGTGATTCTTCTTGGTAATCGTGATGTGAATGAAGGTATTGAGGAGAGTGTGAGATCCTGATGTGCTCTTTCCTTGTGTTTGTAGATCCACATCATAGATTTTGACGATGAAAATAACATTATAAATAAAAATGTCCTCCTCCATCAAGTGGGTGAAATCTGGCACATCAGTGCGAGTCCTGCAGACAAAGGCGTGCTGGCGACCTGCTACAACAGAAGTAAGTGCGGCTTTTCTAAGGTAATTTGGTGACTGGAGGTAATTTGTAAAACTGGTTTTGTATTGCTAGTGGGTTGACACATGACTTAAAAGATTTAACCATTAATGAAGGTGTTGCATACACAGAGAAGCTGTGCTGTTGTGAGATGTTTGCAGAAATTACTGGAATCTTAAAGATTCTAAGAACTGAGGCTGGAATCAGCTGTTCCAGGAACTTTGACCCCTTGGTCAGGGGAGGACAGTGCTGGAGGTTCTTACGAGGCAGACACCGGTGTCCTGATGCGGAAACCGTGCTGTGGGAGCAGCAGGGATTTGCCTCTTTCCCATAGTGTCTCAGTGACCGTCTTCCAGTCCGCTGGTAAGAGCAGTTCCGTGCACACACGCTGTGGACTGGGGCTGTGTCTGATAGGCCTCTTCCTGCCCGCCATTGGGCTGTGCAGGCTTGCAGGGCTCTGGGGCCGTACACCTGTGTCAGTGCAGACATCTCAGTCACTGAACTGAGTGAGCCTCCCTTTCTCCAGTCCTCATTCTGTCGTCATCAGTAACTACTTTCTAAATTCTGGCTCTGTGGAGAGATACCTCATAAACTCTTTCTCTACTGTGTAAGCCAGAACAAAGTCTTTGTGGTTTTCGATATGCAGTTTCTAGAGTGTTGCCTTCATTCGTCCCACAGGCTGAATGACTTTTTAGATACTTTTAATGCGTTCTTTCTGATCTCTCACATACCCTGGCTTCAAAATATTACGGTGTAGGGATTGCATGGCTTGTGTATCAGGCAGGTCACCAGGACACCCTGGTCTCAAATTCTGTGACTAGGCTCTGCCTTCACCAAGTTCTGTGTATGTTTCCTTCCACTTCATTCATTCATTCATTCATTCATTTATTTATTTGTTTATTTAGAGGTGGAGTTTTACTCGCCATCCAGGCTTGGTTTACGAGTAAATATCTCAACCTTGGTTCTCTGCAACCTCTGCCTCCTGGGTTCAAGCCATTCTCCTGCCTCAGCCTCCCGAATAGCTGAGATTACAGGTGTCTGCACAGTGCCTGGCTAATTTTTGTATTTTTAGTATAGACAGGGTTTCACCATTTTGGCCAGGCTGGTCTTGAACTCCTGACCTCAGGTGATCTGCCCGCCTAAGCCTCCCAAAATGCTAGGCTTACAGATGTGAGCCACTGCGCCCAGCCCTCCTTCTGCTTTAACTTTATGGCTGCCCTGTGTCTGCCCTCTGAGGGCCCTGCCTTCGGCCTGGAGGGCAGTGTGGTGTGTGGCTGAGTGAGGCTGTGCACCTCCGTCCTGCCAGCGGGAGGTTGGGGGTCCGAGTCTCCTTCATTTTGTCTGCTCTCTGTGCTGATTGGCCCAGCTGACAGTGTCTCAGCTGAAATACGTTTCTCAAGAATTGGTGTGTCTTCAGTAGATTTCCTGGGGCTTCACTTCCTCAGACAAGAACCTAGCTGCAGATCTTTTAGAGATGATCTCTTCTCTGCCTCAGTCTCCTGCTCAGATGGCCAAGGGACTGCTCTCTTCACCCTTGACCCATTACTTCCACCCTTCACCCTCTTGTCTGCTGAGGATGTGTGAGGCACTCCCTCGGCTTCTTGAAAGGCTTTTCCAGGGACTGCGCTCTGACCTCCTGACCTTCCCTAGGCTTTAACCACATGCGGTGTGGCCCATCCTCAGCCTTTTCTCAGGGACACACGCTCCTGACAGTCGGGGCATTAGTCCATTCTCGCACTGCTATGAAGGACTACCTGGGACTGGGCAATTTATGAAGAGGTTTAATTGACTCACACAGTTCTGTCGGCTTCACAGGAAGCTCGACTGGGAGGCCTTAGGAAACTTACAATCATGGTGTGAGGCGAAGGAAAAGCAAGGACCTTCTTCGAAGCCAGCAGGAGAGAGAGCGAAGTGGGAAAAGCCACACACCTTAAACGGCCAGATCTCCTGAGATCTCCCTCGCTGTCCCGAGAACAGCACGGGGGAAACCCACCCCACAGTCCGTCACCTCCCACCAGGTGTCTCCCCTGACATGTGGGGATCACAGTTCGAGATGAGATTTGGGTGGGGACACAGACTCCAACCGTATCAGTTAGGCTTTTCATTTCAGCACCTTTGCTGCTGAAGAGGCTGGGCTTGGAGTCACTCTGCCATCAAACAGCTCTGCCCCCACTTGCCCTCTTCTCCACCCTTGCCCTGTCCCTGCACCAGGAAATGCTGGAGTGCAGGAGCAGCCTCAACATGACAGGAGGCGCCTCCACGGCCCTGCAGGGCACCGCCTTTCTGCCTCCTGCAGCAGGTGCCCGCCTGCCTCCTGGGTGCTCCAAGCAAGCTCTGCTCTTTCTGTGGCTCCTCAGAAGCCTTCCAGCCTCTACACACTGCTGGAATTCAGCACTTCTCCCACATTTCAGGCATTTGTTACCATGGCCCCTGCTTCCATAGTCATTATACACTGCATAGGAGATTCCCACACACACACAGTGGCTTCCAGCAGCATATACCTCTTCAGCAGTAGGCACTGGCCTGGGGTCTCCAGGCTGCCATCCAGGCCCCACCAGGCTGTGTCAGGGCTCTCGCCTGATGTGGCCCCTGGGGTTGTAGGATCAGGCTTGCTTCCTGGCTGGCTGCAGGAACCGCCCTCAGCTACTCCCTGCTGTCACTGGGCTTTGCCTTAGACTGCCAAGTTTGTGGCAATTTATAGGAGCAGCAGAGAAGGAACACAATTGCCAAGAACTCTTGGTTTTGTTCTGGTCGTCCGCAGGCGTAAGTTGATTGCGTCCTTCAAGCTACCCTGGCTCTCGTGATTTCCAGTCGTGGCTTTCAGAGACTGACTCTTTCTGCTGCCAGTCTTTGAAGGCAGTGAAGCTCTTCTGTTAAATACTTCCTTAATCTGTCAGCCTCTCGAGGAAGAAAGACAAAAGTGTTTCACAACATTCATGTCTAAGTTCCAAGAATTCCGTTTTATTCCTGCCATAGGCAGAACTGAGATTTCCGTCCCTCATGGAAGGCTGTTTTCCCGTGTGAAATGCTGCGAGCGCCTGCTGTCACAGGAAGGGGCCGCACTGCTGCTTGGCGTCTGCTTAGCCCGGCTCTTCACCCTCTGAAGTGTGGTGCCGTGCCTCCTCTGAATCAGGCCTCTTCAGTGGTGGTCATGCCCCTGGGACAAGGCACCAGCCCCTCCTGCTTCAGGTGCCTCCAGAAAAGCCTGGGGTCATAGACCTAAGCTCGCTGTGTGTAACGCAGCGCAGGGAAAACGTTTTAGACACTTCATGTGTTTCGCAAACACACTTGTGCTCTGTTCATTTTGCAAGTAGCTTGCCTGTAAGTCACTAGGCTTCCACATTGCAATGAATCAAATATGAATTAATCCAAAAGCACCGCAAACATAGATTATACGGGATTGCTTAAATTGTCACTTCGTTACAGGGAGTCTCTCTGCAGAGATCAGAGTTGCACTTTATCCTCTGTCTGCCAATCGCGTTTTCTCCTGTTGTGCTTTTACCCCACCCGCCGGGGTGGGAGGGAGCTGCCCGCGGCGCATGCTCCCGCTGTGCTGTGGACTAGGGTGTGCCTTCAGAGAAGCTCCTGCCGCCGGCGGTCCCTGGAGCCCCCGCGTGCTTTCTTTGTCCCTGCTCTTTTGCAGCCCTTTCCTTCTTTCTGTTTCCATTAGTTTGTAGGATATTTTGGTGAACTGTAGCATCTTTTAATGAAGAAAGACTCAGGGCTTCTGAGACACGCCTTTCAGCACACACCCAGCGCCGGGCAGCGCAGACAGTGTGGGAAGCAGAGCCATAGGTGGCGAGGGTGGGCAGGTCCCACAGAGCCAGCTGGTGTGAGTTGTTAGGAGTGCCCTCCCTCCAGCACGCAGTTGCCCTCTTCTTTCCTTCTTCACAGGTGTCCTGAAATCCTTTTCCATGCATCTTTTTTTTGGTGATAGTGTCTTGCTCTTGGCTCTTGTCACCCAGGCTGGAGTATAGTGACACAATCTTGGCTCATTGCATCCTCCGCCTGCCAGGCTCAAGCAATCCACCCACCTCAGCCTCTTGAGTACCTCAGAACACAGGTAGGCACTACCATATCTGGCTGATTTTTTAAAAAAAAATTCTAGTAGAAATGAGGTCTCACTGTGTTGCCCAGGCCGGTCTTGAACTCCTGAGCTCAAGTGATCTGCCTGCTTCAGCCTCCGAAAGTACTGGGATTACAGGTGTGAGCCGCCACACCTGGCCTTCTGTGAATCTTATGGGTGGAAAGGAGAAAGGAGCCATGGAAAAGGGGCCTCTGGGGAGAGTGTCTAGAAGCAGAATGCGTTTGGAGCACCTCAGTCTTCTTTAGGAATCTTGTTACTGGGTATTTGTTGAAAATGGCAGTGTTTACATTATGTCTGTTGTTGCAGCACACCGAATCTCTGCCAATCAGCACAAGTCTGCAACTTGGTAGAACTCTTGTGCACAAAGCACAGGGGCTGGGATGAACATCACAAGTACGCCCAAAGGGATGAACTCGGGGCTTATTTTCTTCCATGCAAGTGAGAAACCCTTTCTCTGTTCTCTTATTCTTAAGAAGAGTGGTCAGGAACCACGTGCTGAGTTCCCCGTGCGCAGCTGAAGGGTCTGGCGCTCTCGGGCAAAGGCTCCTTGCAGAGTGACGTTCTCGTCACACTGTCTAGAAAATGATAGAAAATTTATAGGAGGTTAAAGTATCCTAAAAATTCACACTTTTTCAGATATCTCTGTCTCTTCTGGCTTAAATCTCTATACGTGCAAGGAACAAGGGACAGATTGCCATCGATTACTGATAGGGATTTATAACTGCTGTTGATCTGTTTCACTCATTACCTGTGATGATTGTGAAAAATACATTCTTGGAATTTGTGGAAGGGGGAGTTGTTGTACAATGAACTCATGGGATGTTTTCTACATAGATGATGAAGATTAAGAAAACAACTTTTACTCTCCTTTCTGATAATTTTATAAGGAAAATGCATCCCTAGGAGAGCAAATGAGGGA